GGCTTTGTGTTGCAGGAACCAAAACATCTATCAATATTTTTTTTTCTTTTAATCAAGAATAAATCAATTATGGTGTAAAGCAGTTTTTTAATGAATGTAAACGAATAATATTTTTTTAAAGAAAGTAACAAATTCAATTTTAAACAATTGAGTTTGTTTCAACAATGGTCTCTGTTGCGCGCAAATGTTTGTGGGTAATATGAGGGTCCAACTTGCCCCGAGTCAAGGGGGCCAACTATCCCCGGATGCACACTTTTTATTTTAAAGGATGGCAGCCATTTATGGTGCTAGAATGAGCAACGATGATACATTTGTGAACTTTGAAACAATGAGCTTCAGTTTGATGCCCTATACATATATTATATTCGATCAAAAGCCTATGAATATAGATTTTTAAATCTCTTAAACAAAATTACTTTCAGGTGCAAAAATCGTTTATTTCGACTCACCACTTAAGTAAAACTTTTAAACGCCCGACACTTCCTTAGCATTGTAGGCTACGGTCACTTTACAAGAGTATGTGGCCAATTTTTTTTTACCCCGTAGTTACTTTTTTCATAAATTGACAGGGGGGCAATGTACCCTGGGGTCCAACTAGCCCCGGTCTCCCCTACATATACACGGGCGCCGTGCATTGAAATTGTCCGTACGACTTTTTTTTTTTTTTTGAAATCGTAAGGAGTTACGGGCTATTTACCCTAGGTTCTAGATTCGGTATTGCCAGTTCGATCTTGATTTCATATATAACCCATATCAGCAATACCAGGCTCTAGCGAACAGCGGCCATGTTAGATTTCCGTCAATCAAATAGAACTGCTCCGCAGTGAATCTGCAGTTGACAGCTACACTGGATGCCTGATACCACTATAAGGGCTGCGCAATGGCTACACTAAAATCAGTTTTTAGAGCAGAATGTTGCTTGTATTGTGGCACTGACCTTCGATTGCAAGATATTTTCAATTCAAACTTCTAACTCCGCGTCAGCCACTTTGCTTCTTGTCTCGTCTGCACAAGTCAGCGCAAGGCGGTAAGGGCAGCTCCAGGCGGCCAAACCTGTGACGTACGAGACTTATGACTTCCAAATATGGATCCAGGTGGACACAGCTGTGACGTGTGACTTCCAAAAGAATTTTGAAGAAGAACGCCCTCAGATTGTCGGTGTTAGTCAGAGTTTAGTAAAAGCGACTCCATCACAAGGTATTAAGCCAGCTTTTACGTTGCTCTGACACTCAGGGCAGGGCTATGCAGAGTACTAGTATGTTTACATTACATGGCCTTAAATCAGTGTACATGTACTAGTACCACCGAAATAAAAAATGTTGAAGTCTACCTCCGCTCAGACGCCGTACGAAAAGGGTATTACTGGCAGTATACCTGCACCGTACGGACATCGCATTTCAACTGTAATTTAGGTTTTACGAGTTTCCGTGCGATTTTTTGACATCGTAAGAGGCTACTGGATACAGCGAGTATGTTTACATTTACATGTACCTGTAAATTATAACTTCTAAGATGTTCAATAAGACGTTTTTATATTTTGTTCAGATAGGCGTGAAGGGCAAACCCCAGGCAAACAGACTGTAACGCTTTAGTGCCTGAGGTATAGTTCTCTTCTCTCACAGCATCTTGAAAAATGATTCGCTTAAAAAAAAAAAAAAATTATGTGGTGAAAAACAGTTGGTTTTAGAGAGACTAAACATGTTTTTATCCACATGTCATGATGTTTTTATCCTTCATCACAGGAGGTTGATCATATACCGGTATGTGGCTGACCCCCGAATTAGAAAGAATTGACCTTTTTCGTGGTAACGGGAAGTCATGAGTTCAAATCCCGGATGACGCATGCCAGTTCACCACTACAACTAGCTGGCCCCGCAAAACGACAACAAATTATTGCTCAACATTATCACAAAGTCTGCGTCGTAAATTATATTTCTTTACTCTTTGCTTTAAAGTCAGTGTAAGCAAAATGAAAATAACAGCATCTGAAATCATCTAACTAAAAACGTTTGGCTATTACGTAAGATTGTCACTTAAATGATTAATTTTTGGATGCCTTGGGGTCTGTGAAAGGGAGCAGCCCCTGCCCCCTCCCCTGGACGAATTACTTTTAAGAGTAGCACGGTTAACAGTGGCGGATTAAGGGGGTGTCAAGTGGGAGGGCCTGACCCCCCACTGATAAAAAAAGGCACACCAATGGTCCATTCTTAAAATTAGAATATTTACTTGCTGAATCATAATTCTAAACCGTACCAAGCGGAACCGTTCGCCCTCTAAAATACCATTCTTTTCGTCCCCGGATCCCACAATAAGGGGGGGGGGGGGATTTAGCATCCGCAGACCCCCCCCCCCCCTTCAAAAAATCCCGGATCCGCCCCTGTAGTACCATGTCTAGCACCCAGGAATTGGAGGGGTGTTGTGAGAGTTGTATATACTCAAAGGATATTCTCCTTTGAAGACCAGTCTAAAAAGTAATTTTATGCATAAAAATACAGTTTACTATAAAGTGTGTTTTATTTTCTTCTAATTCCTCAACACTTAAGTACATGCAGCCTAAGTGCAATGTTTAACAGAATCTTACACGTTGTAATACAGCAACTAGGTGGGGAATGTTTAAAATATTTTCAATACATCAGTAATAATTTTGATGACATTCTACTCAAATAACTTTGCCATATATTTGTATGCTGCTTCAATACCAATAGCTGCCGTCGAAAGCGTGGCGTTTTCACTTCTTTTCTAACAAGGTATCAGTGTACACTCATTGTTATTTCAATATCTAAGTAATGATTTATGTCAAAGTGATTATAGATTCTGTAACACCTATCTCAGGTCGTCTACTGTCGTTACTCTCTTGCCATTAATTAGAAAATAACAAGAAATTATCGAAATACCCTACAACACATTTGTTTGACTTGAAGCCTATTAAAGCACAAGCAAAGCATATTAAGTGAAATAGAATCAGAATAATTAAACAAATGGTGTTCATGAAATCCGGGAACTTAACANCAAATTGCCACCCCCGCCCCCCCCCCCCCCCCCCCCCTTCAAAAAATCCCGGATCCACCCATGTAGTACCATGTCTAGCACCCAGGAATTGGAGCGGGTGTTGTAAGAGTTGTATATTTTCAAAGGATATTCTCCTTTGCAGACCAATCTAAAAAGTAATTTTATGCAATAAAAATACAGTTGACTATAAAGTGTGTTTTATTTTCTTCTCACTCCTCAACACTTAAGTACACGCAGCCTAAGTGCAATGTTTAACAGGATCTTACAAGTTGTAATACAGCAACCAGGTGGGGAATGTTTAAAATATTCTAAATACATTAGTAATAATTTTGGTGACATTCTACTCAAATAACTTTGCCATATATTTGTATGCTGCTTCAATACCAATAGCTGCCGTCGAAAGCGTGGCGTTTTCACTTCTTTTCTAACAAGGTATCAGTGTACACTCATTGTTATTACAATTTCTAAGTAATGATTTATGTCAAAGTGATTATAGATTCTGTAGCACCTATCTCAGGTCGTCTGCTGTCGTTGCTCTCTTACCATTAATTAGAAAATAACAAGAAATTATCGAAATACCCTACAACACATTTGTTTGACTTGAAGTCTATTAAAGCACAAGCAAAGCATATTAAGTGAAATAGAATCAGAATAATTAAACAAATGGTGTTCATGAAATCCGGGAACTTAACATTAAAGTAATAAAAAGTAAACCATTCTCAACAAAAAAGTCATTAAAACATTAAATTGGCAAGGGACTCATTAAAGAGCTGAATTTAACACATCTTATCTACGTGAAATGTCTGAACATTTTCAATTAGGGAAATCTCGCGGCTGATGAACACCGTGTTACAAAATCTGTGACACCTTATTGCGTGAAGTTGGACATAGACATTAAAGGCATATATAAATGAACTGTGCATGAACTTTTGGGATTAAAACAAATAAGGCATGGTGTCGCCATTAAGTTGCCACAGTCTTCCCTCTGATCTCTGTCAGTATAGTAGCGCCTTGTGTTCAGAAGTGTGGCATTTTCACTTGGTAAGTATCCTGTATAATTTCAAGCATATTCAATCTGTATGTAATTGCTTCATTAGACTTACTCTTATTTAGGAGTAAAAAGGCCTGGTAAAGCTCTGGAAAAACCACTTAGAGTTACCTGTATATAGTGATAGGGTTTTCAATAGAAACAAGATTCTGTTCATTAAATAAGAGGCTGTAAATGGCAAAATGTGACTTAAGTTTGGACAAAGCACGGCATGTCAAAATTAAATTATATCCATGTAGCATGTGATGTGTAAATGAAGTACAGCGTTATGCAAACATCACCATGTTACGAGTTTTAACGTTTTGATATATTAAAATAGGCAGACACCACTTGCAGCCATTTCCGAACAGTAGGTCATAGACCTGAACCAGATCATACATATTCAATTTTGAATTGGAATCTATATTTAGTAAGTAAAAAAAAGTGCATGAAAGGAAATGGGGGGAAAAAGTAGCTCTTTGGTTATAATAGAGGGCATAGATGTAGATGCAGCAAGAGAAGAGAGGATTTTATGACACCTAAATGTGTGGAACAGCAGTTTTGAAAATAATCGTACCTTATAGAACGGAAGAATGCAAATGTACCCTTCTTTGATGCACCAAAGGAAAAAAATATATAGACTAAGATGACATTCAAGGCTTAGGATTATGTGTACTGGTAGACATCAACAGACATCTTTAAGTAATCAGATGAAATAAGAAAAAAGAAAGAAATCGACTTTTGAAGCTGTTTCGTTATCCTTGTTTTGAAAAGATTTTACATAAAGAAGGGTGTCTGGAGGCAAGTTCTGACGTAAAGGAGTTGAAGGCTAACAACCTAATGGCAACGTTTTCTGCCTCACTGGTACTTTTGTTTCTTCTTTGATCTATCTCTTCATTATATCAGGTAGAACGTTTCGTCTTTTTTATTCATTTATTATTTATGAACAGGTTATAGTGTAGTTTCTGCTTTTCTTTCAGGTTTCCAAATGTACCAAATGACAAGTAAGGGCACTATGATCTTAGGTGGATCCCTACTGTTAACGCTGATTGCTGTCGGTTCAGGGCAACCAGCAAGTAAGCATGGCCAAAAGTGCTTTAGTCACAAACTAAGCTTTAATACCCATGTGAGATAATACTATGTGTCATCTGCTACCTCTATCCACGCCCCCAACACCAAAACGGTAATTTTGGCGAATCTTTAACAACGTATAATGCAATTTATGAGGTAGTGCAGTTTTAATAAAAAAAAAAAAAAAAAATTAAATGTGAAATATAATTAAGTGAACGCGAAAGAAAAACATTGTTTCCACATATTTGTTAGTGCCTTTTTACTCATAATGAACGTAAATTATAATGCATAAGTAAATACCTCGTGCTTATATGTTTTTTTACTGGACCTCATTCGCATGTACTTGCAGCTGAAGTGAGATTGGTTGGTGGTGCACATATCATGGAGGGAAGAGGTGAGGTCTTTCATAACGGCGAATGGGGCACTGTTTGTGATGATGACTGGGATTTGGAAGAAGCTGGTGTGGTTTGTAGAATGCTTGGTTACAAGTAAGCAAAACTTATGTTAAATATTCCATTTGCTGCTCATGAATACCATAGAAGTTAACAGAGTTTGATTAAACAACTGCTTTCAACTATTTACATGGCTATAACTAAAATTTCAGCTCAGATTACGCAACTCCCTATCTCGACGCGTATTCCGGCGAAGGTACTGGTTCCATTCTTATGGGTAACGTTACATGCTATGGATGGGAGACCTCTATCAAAGATTGCATTCACGACGGTTGGCAGTCACACTACTGTGATCATTCTGAGAATGCTGGTGTCAGCTGTTTTAATCCAGGATTGATAATGCTTGGTGTGTATTACATAATAACTCTTTGAAAGGTTAGAAAACATAGCATAGGCAACATGTCAATGTACTGACTATGTGTTATTGTGCTCATGAAATAAAACTATTATTATTATTATTATTATTATATAAGTAACATTAAAAACCTGAATGTGCAGTTATTGTGTGCACATGATAATTGACGTTAAACACTACAAACATGTGAAACATTTAAAATAATAAATTAAACATTATGCTGCAGATGGAGTAAGATTGGTTGGTGGTTCTCATCCCGGTGAGGGGAGGATTGAGGTCCTCCAACACAGACCATGGGGCACTGAATGGGGCACTGTCTGTAATGACGACTGGGATGACATCGATGCTGCAGTGGTCTGTAGAATGCTTGGTTACGGGTGAGTAAAGACACTGAACAGAAGATTTTAAATCTAATAATTATAAAACTATTCTGTTATCTGTGCACCTCCAGTAAACAAAAATGGAGTTTGCACCAACATTTAGAATAAATCAGATTAATTTCGTCATATTGTAAAGTTACGATGGATCGATAACGGCAAGAAGTGTAATGGCCAGCTATTGTCAGTTCCGCTGAATATGTTTGAGTTGTTTACTTACAGTATAAACGGTGGGTTTGAGAAATCCACACTAAGCGCCTAGATAACATTTTCAACGAGTGCCGTGCGATGAAATTGTATGCCCTCAGGTCACGAAGGGAAAATCGGTTGTCGGTTGATCAGGTGGTCTATTCAGTCTCAGTGCATCTCGGCTGTTTCACAATCAGGGTGAACAATGTATAAAAATGTGTTTAATGTTACAAGTGTCTGACAGATTAGAAATTAATGATTGGAGATTACTGATAGACTGATATAAAAAAAAAAAAAAAAAAATAGAGAGAGAGAGAGAGTTATGGTAATCGGACTACAATTTACAAAAATATATCATGTGTTTGACAAGTATGTTTTTTAGCTGTTACGATGGGTCATTTGCAATTAAGGTCATAAATGTGATGCACTTAGCTCTCTCATTCAATGACTTATGGTGAATATGATATTGGTCTATAAATCCCACAACGTATGCCTTCCTAAAGCAGGTTCTTCTAAAGATATATTGCGAGAAAATTTTCTCTTTTAACAATTTTGCTGAAAGAGGCTTTGGTACATATTCTATATATTTTTGGTTATGCAATGAAAAAGATATTTGATCAGCCCAATATTACTTTGAAATCACCTACGTGATAATAAGATTAATTTACCATGTTATAAATTAAACATAATAAAGGAGTTGTGCATATGTAACCATTATTAATAATGTTATATATATATATATATATATATATATATATATATATATATAATACACAGAGTTTATAATCCAGGTGCTGCTTATACATAACCTACTTATGTGGGTACTGGGAAAATGCTTTGTACATAAAGTCTACAACAAAATCGAAGGTTCCAACATGTCTCTCTGTTTGTAAAGATATCCCACAAACGCACAGTCTCTACTCTTTAAAACCCCTTTACACTGGACGGCGTCCTTTCTGCGTCCTTTGTGCGACCATGAAACTGGCTGGACGCCGTCGGACGCTGAAAGAACGCACAGTGATCGCCAAGGTCGCACAAAGAACGTTCAAGCATCGCCGAGGACGCCATGGACGCCGCGAAGTTTTGAGCATGTTCAAAACAATCGCATTGAGAACGCGATGGAGGATGGTCGCTCAATGGACGCAGAAAGGACGCACAACCATCGCCGTGGTCGCAGAGAGGACGCACAAGCATCGCCGCGGTCGTAGAAAGGAGGCACAAGCATCGCTTTGGTTGCAGAATGAAAACTCAAAGATCGTCCAGTGTTCGGCACGTAGAACATTTTTTTTCACTCTCAAACGGGGCCGTGCTGAAGTATTTTTCACCAGACAGGAATTCTAAGGGCAACAGTGGTCTCATATCAGCCTTCGACTGTTTTTTTCCTAAAATTCATGAAAAGATCAATTTTTTAGGTTATTATAAAACGAATATTTTGCCCTTTTTACAAGATGCATTAATTGTAAGAACTTTTTGCAGAATGCGTCATTTGAAAACGGATTCAAAGATATATTCTATGTTGTGTCAGTCATACTTTCTCGTTTTCGGCGCCTGTCGATCCTTCTTATAATGATAACAATGAGCATCTGGCTGATTACATCAGTCCATGTAGACCTTGCATAGACTGAAATAATCATAGTTTAAACGTTTATTTCCATTTATTTGTTTTGTATGCTGGAAATGACCTGGATGACCTGGGGCCGGTTTCACAAAGCAGTAGTTAGTTAGCGATCGGTAGTTATGAGTGACGTTTCACGAAGCAGTCGCTAGTTCTCTCGCTCGTTATTTTCTCGTTGTTACCATGGATATTTAACGACTGGTCAGACCAGTCGCTAACTCTAGAGTTTCATCATACGCATGCGTAATGAGTGAAATAAAAAGGTTGCTTAGTTACCGTTGTCTGTCTTTTGTCTTTGTATCCAATATGGCGGCTACCTTTCTTGCTATCCGTACCGCCAGACGGCAACGTAGACTACGACGTTTTCATGAAAGGCAGAATCTATTATAATATACATACGATGATGCAATTTACGAGATGTTGCGCCTAGCTGTGACAAAAAGAGCGACAAAAAGGTGGTGAAGATCCTTTACGACGACCTCAAAGCAAACGTTCTTATGCATTTCCAGCCACCAAAAATTGGAGAGTTAGTGCTTTCGTGACACTTTTACGCAAGAGTTCCACTTCCGGCAGACGGTTTCGAGACTACGGTGAGTAACGAGAGAACTAGCGACCGAACTTTACGACTGAACTTAGCGATAAGTTAACTACTGCTTCGTGAAACACCCCTCGAAAATCGCTAAGTTTGCTCGTTAGCGAGGTAGTTCAGTAGTTAGTTGTTCTAACTAACTACTGCTTTGTGAAACCGGCCCCTGGTTAGAACCGATGAAAAAATATGAGTTAGAATATAGAGAAAAAAGCCCAAACAATGCTCATCGGTCAAGCAGGATGCAGAATGATCGTAGAATAGACGCAACTGAACGCCGATGAAGGTACAGAGAACGCAGCAAGAATGCTCTGTGGTCGCTCAAGCATCGCAATGGACGCCTTGGGTTGCACAGGGGACGTACAGTGGAGGCAGGCAGGTCGCTCGCAGTTTTACAGGTAAAATCAAGATTCGGTCGTTCAAAGGACGCACAAGGGACGCAGACGCCTTTACACTGAGACACGATTTAATTGCTTTGGCGACCGTTGAGCGTCCTGACCACATTTTTGAACGCAGAAGGGACGCAGAAAGGACGCCGTCCAGTGTAAAGGGGCCCTTAGTGATACAGGTCCACCGCCCAGTTTCTATAGCCAAGTTATGTGACGAGGTGCGGAGACGTGTGAAAGTTAGCCTCTTATACTCCGGGATATCGGTTGTTACCTTCTAAACACAACGACCTGTCAAGTTGGGATTTATTGTCTGTCGATAAGCTTACACCCTGAGCTTCAGAGATAACTTGACACTAACCTCTTCACTATAGCCTATCTTCATCGTGTCAAGTTACCTCTGACGACGTTCGATTGCCCGCACCGCCCGCCAATCACATTTAAAGCCCGCCCTCAATGACTCATTGAACGATCTAGCCAATGAACGCGAACGAGTCAAAGCGCGCTTTGTTCAAATCCGGACCAATCAAAGATTAGGCTGAATTTCAGGGACTTGCCGTAACCTGTGGGCAGCACGCACAATGCATCATCCCTCAGTAGATAATGATGCAGGGCCTCAAACTGCTCTGGTTTCAATTCCGATATACTCATATTTTGCAAAGAATAAAGAGATAACTTAACACATTCTTTTACGTAGTCACTCGTAGGAGACGCCATGCTTTCTTTGTGTACGGTTATGCGGACGCAACGAAATACAATTTCATTGGACATAATTCTGGACTTTCAACCAATCAGCGTTTTCACCAAACTTTGGTGAAAATTTTTGAAACATGGATTCGATTGGCTTATATAAACTAGGTCAAACTATTTTCGTCAGAGGTAACTTGACAGGATGAAGATAGGCTATAGTGAAGAGGTTAGTGTCAAGTTATCTCTGAAGCTCATGGTGTAAGCTGTATACATCGAACCAGATTTTAATGAAATACAGACTTGACATTTAATATGGAATATTTTTTTCCAAGTAATTTTTTATCAGTTTTTTCCTATTTTGCTGACTGATAAATGACAATAAGGATTAAAATCGTGTTTTAATAACTTTAAATTATCGCTTTGATGTCATTGTGACATCAATTCATTAATGGAATTCGCCAGAGAAGCAAACAAAAGCACATTGCCTATTCTATGTCATACGACTTCCATTAAAAGAGATATTTTGGATCTTCATATTTTCCAAATTATCTTCTGTAAAAGAGTTATACGCTCCATAAAATACCCTCATGTCAGTTGCTAGTCACAGTAATGGGCGCTGTTACGCCTGGCCTCTTCTGGCTGTTGCCAGCTCTCTCAAGCGGCAAGGCATTCCTTGGGGTAGGTTTTTAGAATTCAATCGGGAATAATATTCTAGGCATCGGTCTAAAATTGTCCAATTTGGTCCAGTTTTGTTGTAGGACATGTAGGCAGTTGATTCGGCGAGTAATGCCCTACCAAAATATTGTCTATGTGGTTCAAATCTGGCGATTTTGATGACCAGGGTAGCTGCTCATTCCTTTGGTTCTGTAAGTTATCTGCTATTAAAAGTGCTCTGTGTGAACGGGTAATCTCACCGTGCAACCGAAAATCGTTCCTAGGGTGCCCCCTATCAAATGATAGTCAAGTGGTTCCGAGATTATTCCTTAATTTGATCTGGTTCAGTTTTTCGTCGATGACTACCATTGGTGTTTTGGCACCAATGGGGTATCCACTCCAAAAACTGACGCTGTCAATCACCCTTGTCACTTTAGATCCGGCATATGCTTCGTCCTAGGCCTCTTCTGGATATCTGTAAACTCTGTTTTGACTAATTGGGCGGTACAGGTGATACCTGACCTCAATAAAGAAAGCCATGCAGTTTCAGTGTTCTACCCAGAAACGGCCATGGCCCCCAATTCATTAGAGAAACAGACGACGATGTTTTGCTGTTTACAGTGGATGCTTCGGAGGTCGTTTGGTGTTCTTACCTGCTAAAACCAGTTTGGTGTTCACTAAGGGCTTTTAAAAACGCATTTTGGTGGCAATTTACCCCGCGTTCTGAATGGACTGAGTGTTTTTTGTTTAGTTGCAGCAGCGTATCCCGAAAGACAGTGGGTCCTGTACCCTGTAGGTAAGATTTTGATACATTGGGGGTGACCTCTGTGTAGGTACATCAGTCTGGACATTACTCTATAAAACTGTGGGGACCGTTCCGTTTGGCGCTATGATCTGTCTGGTAATGTCTGTCTTTTTCGCGCCATTCTGCCATAGATTAACAAATTTATAATGGACTACTTGACTCATCTTAAGCACTGCAAAACTGACCGCTTGCATGCAAAATTTCAAATTCTTCTATGCAGTAATTGCCGACATATGGGTACTTTTTTTGACAGAACCAAGCTTTGCCAAAGCCAAGCTTTGACCAGCCCAAAGGAACCCTACCCAATTAAATCACTTTATATTATATAATATAGCAGCGCAACATACATGAAAGTCAGTTAATTGGTAGCGACACACCTAACTACACACTTCTCCATTCACAAATCTTATATGAGATCGGAGTTTTTTGAAAAAAGAACGCATACCTTCGAAACTGAAATATTCCATATTAAATGTCAAGTCTGTAGCTTCCTTTACTTCCATTTCCCAATCTACCTCTGCAGACTCGAATGAACTCGTTATATATTTAAATGCTTTTGTCTTGCTAGATACACAGAAGGTCCATACGAAATTAAAAGGGTCATCTATACACTCCCTCCTCTGAGACATACGATTTGATAATTGTGCCCTTTGAGCTGCTCTAACACGGAATCTTAACACTGGACAAACCTTCTTCAATTAAACAAATCAAGTAAGGAGAGGTGCTCCGTAGTCCCAGTAAAGTTTTGACAGCCATACCTTTACATAGCTTATACATATACATAGCTTTACACTGCTTAAACAATTGTCTAGCCAACACTCACAGCTATATAAGATCGCTGGTACAAACGCTACTTCAAATACTTTTCTTTTGACCAAAAAATGAAAATCCACATTTTTTTTCACGAATACAACACATTTCGACACATGGTATTTCTTTTGTGTACAATGGTTATCAAGCAAACTTTGCAAACGGTCATCTTGCGTGAATGTAGCTCCGAGATAAACACATGCTTCACAATTATTAACCTCAATATCACCAATTCTTTTAGGGGCTTTATGGCCCAACTCTCCGTTAATTACCATACATTCTAATAATTGTGATATAATTAGGGTTCACGCTGTGCGGTTAAATGCAATTTGATTGCTGTTGTAGCGACGATGGCGCCATTGCATTCAGCAGTGCTACGTTTGGAAGAGGTAATGGAAGTCTTATAGAAAACGTGGATTGTATCGGCAGTGAAGGTTCTCTGGAAGAATGTTTCTACACGTGGGGAACGTACAACTGTACGAGCACGGAAGATGCCGGTGTCAGGTGTTTGGCGGGGGAACCGACGACACCATCAATACCAACAACTGCTTCTGTACCTAGTGAGTGTAACGTGATTAAAATCCACATTATGATTTTAAGACTTTTGTACAAGAAAACCCTAAATTCGTTTTTTATTTGCTTAGAATTTTACGTGCCCTATATAATACCTTAACAGAATAAAGCCCCAGCCATCCAAAAATCTGTTTTTGTGTCCTAAGTTATTAGTATAAATTTTCTAGTCATACTGGATAAAAAGACTGGTGACATTCATTCGTGTCGGTGTAAATTAGACATTTACAACTCAGGTTTGTGTTTATACACAGGCGCTTTCTAAACAGTTACACTGGGACACAAAATTGCACTGGTATATGTTAACAAAGCATACAATTAACCCTCAAGAGACCAAGCTATTTTACTGACTGAAATGACCAAGTGGGGTCATCTATGACCCCATTGTGCTCTGTACAGGGATCCTTATTATAAAAGGCTGTTGAGGGTTTATCACACCTATACTACTCCCAGGATTTAAGACAAGTATTTTATAATGATCTAATGTAAAAAGTATNAACAAAGCCACTGAAATTAGATTCAGCGATGCACTATTAGTAACATTTCAAGCTTAATCTTCACAAACCACTTATCTGTGCCTATGTTTTGAGCACACTGGCTGGTTGCATGAAGCACATGCATGTGGCATATCCTTGTCAGTGTTGTGTGGGCAAAACATTTCAATAAAATTTAAAAACTAATATTTAAAAACCAATGCTTCTCTTTGGGGTCATAAATGACCCCACAAGAGTTTGTGATGTATACGCCACACTAATTAGTTGATCCATACAAAAAACTGTGAAAGTGTGTAGGATTAGTAGACTGACAAACTCATGCAAGGAAAGAAAATTTGAATAAAAAATAAAGAGATGGCACATTAAATCATATGGCTGGGGTCGTAAATGACCCCACTCGGTCTCTTGAGGGTTAAACTTCGATATAAATAATAAAATGGGCTTTCACAAAATATCAATACCATATCAAACATGACTTACAATGCAGAAAATACAAAACGTTGACGATATCCATATTTTATTTCATTAATCAGATTTTAGAACGTACCCCCCCAACAAAAAAAAATATGTAATATGTTCCGAAGGGTTTTCGACAGAAGTTAATAGTAGCCTAAAAATAGTTTAAAGACAACAGCAAATACCATAAAGCACAGTTTACATCGGGATATGTTCTTTGAGAGTTACGTGTGTTTTGTGATATAATGTCACATTCTTCCCGAGGAGCATCGCGTCCCATTTTGTATACAGCAGTTTAAAATAATCGGTGCTTATATATGTAGTTACACTTGTTGTCATCTGCTGTACCTTGCAGTTGAAGTACGATCGATGGATAGGGAACACCGTAAGTCGATATTTGAAGATGCATTTGTGCTGAATATACTTATTTCTTAAACAATACCAACATGGTAATTTTGGTGAATCTTTAAAAACGTATAATTTAATTGATAAGGTAGTGTAGCTTTATAAAAAAAATCAACTAAAAGTGAAATATAATTAAGTGAACGAGAAAGAAAAAAATCAATGTTTCCACATATTTGCTAGGTCCTTTTTACTCATCATGAACGTTAATACTGAATACTGTCTTGTTAAAAGTATGTAAGCAAATACTCTGCGCTTATATGAATTTTTGCTTACCCTCATCCGCATGTCATTGCAGTTGAAGTGAGATTGGTTGGTAGTGCACGTGTCAAGGAGGGAAGAGTTGAGGTCTTCCATAACGGCGAATGGGGCACTGTCTGTGATGACAGCTGGGATAACAACGATGCTCGTGTGGTCTGCAGAATGCTTGGTTACAAGTAAGCAAAACTTTTGTTAAATATTCCATTTACTGTTCATGATTGCCATAGAAGTATGTTAACAAAGTTTGATTGAACAACTGTTTCAATTATTTTAATGGCTATAACTATAATTTCAGCTCAGATTACGCAATTCCCTAGCTATCTCAATGCGTATTTCGGTGAAGGTCATGGTTCCATTCTTATGGATAACGTTGCATGCATTGGAAGTGAGACCTCTATCAAAAATTGCAGTAACGACGGTTGGGTTTCACACTACTGTGATCACTCTCATGATGCTGGTGTCGGATGTTTTGGTCCAGGATTTATAATGCTTGGTGTGTATTACATAATGACTCTTTGAATGGTTAGAAATTATAGCATAGAGACCTTGTCAATGTACTGAGCATGTGTTATTGTGCTCATGAAGTGAAACTATTATTATTATTATTATTATTATTATTATTATTATTATTATTATGTAAGTAATATCCAAAATCTGAATTTACAGTTATTGTGTGAACATTATAATTGACGTAAAACACTACAAACATGCGAAACAAAACATTTAAAGCGATAAATAAAACATAATGCTGCAGATGGAGTCAGATTGGTTGGCGGTACTCATCCCGGTGAGGGGAGAGTTGAGGTTCTCCTACACAGTCCATGGGTCACTGAATGGGTCACTGTCTGTGATGACGACTGGGATGACATCGGTGCTGCAGTGGTTTGTAGAATGCTTGGTTACGGGTGAGTAAACAGGGGCGGACCCAGAGATATTTTCTGACAGTCTCCCAAATTATCTTTGTTGATCCATCCACCATTTTTGACCGTCTTCGGACAGAAAAAATAGATACCCGTCAATGTAAACTTGAAAATCCGCCCCTGGTAAAGACAATGTACAAAAGTTTTTTTAATGTAATGATATAAAACCATTGTGTTCTCCGTGCACCTCCAGTAAAAAGATGATGGGGTTTGCACGAACATCTAGAATAAATCAGATTGATTTCCTCATTCTCTAAAGTTACGATGAATCAATAACAACACCAAGTGTCTTACATAATTTTTAAAGCAAGGAAAGACTTGGCTTTTAGAATTACAGGTGCAGCATACTTTTAATGTTTTGACATGACAGCTTTCAAGTATAGCTTCAAAAGCAATGGAAAACAACGTGCATTTATTTTAAGATAAGACATGTCTGTAACGGGGGGTGGGGGGGTGGGGGGTGGGCTTTTACGGGTGATAAAAGCGCGTTTGCGGACCACTAGAGGCCATTAATTACGATACACTGGTTATTCGTAAGATAATTAAATGCTTGAGATCGGAAGGTTATTATGTTTGGTCAGTGCCCGAACGTCCAATGAGACTTTTGTTGTTTCCGAAAGCTTATTGTAACTTTTGAATTTTTAACTGTTTTAAAACTTAAACTAAATTCCTACTAAAACCCGTAACAGTACCGTGTTATATGCCCTTTTATTTGTCACAAACCTTTGAAAAGTCACTTCAATCTACCATTAAAATATAGTTTTAATTTTATTTGAAATCATATTATACTGTACGTATTCAATTTCAGAATTTCATATTTAAAACAATATTTTTCTTGATTTTTGCTTTTGCAGGAAGTCTTTTTTCTTTTTTTCTTTTTTCTTTCTTTCTTTCTATGTTTTTTCTAAATGTTTTATAGAACACTTATAAACCAAATAAAATATTCATCTACAGCTGTTACTGAGAGCAATTAGGCAATTATCACAAGAGACCGCCGAATGCAACACATTTCCACATATGGCATCTCTTTTGTCTACAATGGTTAATTAGCAAACTTTGCAAACTGCCATCTTGCGTGAATGTAGCGCCGAGATAAACGCTACTCAACAATTATTAACCTTAATATCACCAATCCTTATAGGGACTTTATCGCCCACCTCTTTGTTAATTACCATAAATTCTAATAATTGTGGTATAATTAGGGTTCACGCTACGAGGTTAAATACAATTTGATTGCTGTTGTAGCGACGGTGGCGCCATTGCATTCAGTAGTGCTACA